ATCTTTGAAAAGATTGTCGGACTGAAATGTTCACTCAAAAAACCGAACGCTGAAGCCATTTTAAAAAGTGGTGATAAGGTAAAGCTTTGCGTTATTCTAAAACACCAATTTACTTTTTGTTTGTTATAGAAATTGACTTTGATTGTTCAACAAGTGCCCTCCTGCTTTCGCTGTTACTTGGAACCAGAGCTTTTTGATCAGTTCATCAACGATTCAGTTGAGTTCTTTTCAAACACTGAAAATCTTCTTCCTGCAAATGGCACTATTCCTCGTCCCAAACTGGCTCCTTTTTTGCTGGAACAACTCAAAACGCAGGCTTGTCGTGGCTCAATTCGTTTTGGTGAACTACTTTCTCCTGATGCCTGTCTGCAAATGCTCAATTCTCTGGCTCGCTGTCAGCAGCCCTTTCGATGCGCTCATGGACGTGTTCATGTCAAGCCAATTTGCTATTTGCCCACGGCTGAAGAAATTTCCACTGACAGTTATCAGAAGTCAGAAGAGGAAGATTGTATGCAGAACATGATAACTGAGTTTGAAAAAATGTTTGGTTCAAGTTTGGAAGTAAAAACTGTTCCCAAATACGACGAGTCAACCAAGAAACTGAACTGATGAACTAAACCTAAAATTAAAACTAGCCAAAACACAAAGGTTAAGTTGTTTACCTTTTCAATTCATTTTCAATTTATTTTTTATGATAACAATTTAATAACATTTTCAACAAACTTATTTTTTATAACTCAATTTCAAATTTACCACAGAATAAAACTTTTAGTCAATTTACCAGCGTTAGTTTGACAAATGAATTCAGTAAACGTGTTTTGCTTTTACATTGGATAGTAAAAACACATTCAGTTTTGTTGGTTATTACTGCTTTCAGTGTTCTCCTCTGAGCTGGGATTAGCCCAAGGATGACAAAGCATGTTCTCCAGAGAAATGCGATCATGAGGATTAGGCGCCAGGCACTTGCGAATCAGGTCCTCAAACTGAGGCGGCAACTGTGCATTACCTAGGTCCAGTTCGCCACTAAAAACTTTTTCAAAACTCTTAAACGGATGATCATTGCCGGTGATCAGACGGAAGAAGAGCACGCCAATGGCCCAAATCTCCGCCTTCACTCCATCGTACTGATGTGTTGTGAACCATTCGGGTGGTGCACAGGTGGTTGTGCCCACAAAGTTGTTGTTTATCTTCCCCGGGACCAGGTAGTCAGCAAGGCCAAAGTCGATTAACTTCAAGGACTTTGTCTCTCGGTTGATGAGAATGTCCTCCTCCTTGATGTCGCAGTGGAGGACGCCAGTCTGGTGACAGCCCTGCACCGCCTTCACCAGCTGACTGAACAGGTTTCGCGCCAGACTTTCATCAAATTTTCCCGGGCGGCGGTTGTAGAACTCCAACAAGTCCTCGGCATTGTTCGGTCGCTCCATGACAATCACAAACTCCGGACCAGTGCCTATGCAGAACCAGTCGAGCAGGCGGATGACGCCCTCAACGTTGGCCACCTTCTCCAGGCAGGCCACCTCTCGAGGAATGAGCCACCGGTCGGCGACCATATCCCAGTGTGGCACTTTCCCGCTGTGGATCACCTTGACGGCTACCTGTAAAAATCAAAATAGCAACATAATTTTGGCAGTTTTTTAGCAGAGGACATTACTTACGGGAGTTTTGTCGGCCAGTCGGACACCACTGAAGACCGACCCGTGACCACCTTTTTCAATGAGGCCACTTTCACTGAAGCTGTACAGCTGCCAAAACTGATCGATGCTGGGAGGCCGAAACTCTCCACTTGTGTTGCTACTTAAAGACATGACTTAAAAGGAGTTTAGTGATTGGATGCAGTGATTTGAGAGTGCAAACTGTATAAAAGTGTAAACACACTTGTTGATAAGTTTTATCAAAAGTTGCACACTTTTAACTTTTTATTTACTTTTTTTATTAAAACTAACTTAACGTACTTTAATCAACAAAACCTGCTGTGTATTTTTAAAAACTCAACAAAGCAGTTTGAAACAGGTAAATTCTTAACTGAAAACTGTAAAAGAGCAGGTAAACAGCAAAAAGTGACTCAAAACTAATCCCTAATCACAGAACAAAGAGCTATCACAGCAACGACAACATCACAACTGGATTGCTGGAGTTGCTGAAAAGTGCCACAAAAACAATGCAACAGTGAAGAGAGTGAATGAAGTTGTGGTGATGAGCATCAGCAGCAGGGGATACAGTCGCCAGAACTGTGTACAACTAGTAAACTGTGCTCATCGATGATCAATATCCGAACGCGCAACGGGCGCAGTGGAGCGCATCAAAGCCGCCTACAAACCACAGCTGCTAAAGCACTGCTGGGAAAAGTGGCGGAAAACTGAAACGGTGCTCTATTCATCTCTGTTCAGTGCTGTTAGCAGGCAATAATGATTAATTGATTGATTTGCCAATTGGTTACTTGCCTAGTGATGGCGATGAGCCGATCAGTAATAAATATCCTAAACTGCTGGATAAACTGTCGCTGCGCGCTGATCGGCTCCAGCACAGTTTTTTAATGAGTTCAACTGCTTTTTTAGCAGAGGTGGTTAATGTGTGCTTTATTTGACCAGTAGAGTTTGAGATACAGTGGTTTTGAGTAAAATGAAAGCAATGATACAGATATGAATGTAGTGTTGGTTGACACGGATCAAAAAGTAGCAATGATGAAAAACAAAAAAAGAGTAGTAAAAACGAAATACGATCAATACTTAAATAGTAAAACAGATTCTGTCGATTTTTTAAACAGAATGAAACAGATCTTCATAACACAGTTAGTGATCTTTGGCGAAATGCTCATCCCGCTCTTTTACATCCAGGAAAAAGGTGTGCTTCTCTGGGCAGCCAACGCAGATGGCATGATTCTCGTTGGCGTGCTTGAAGAGTGCCTCCTGGTCGAAAAAGTAGTGATCTACAGTGGGAACAGCTCCTGGGGCCAGTTGTCCAAAATAGAGAGTACAGCGAGGGTGCTGGATGAAGACGCCATCCAACTCCACTGAACCGTAGCGAAGGTGATCCACGTAAGTCTCATCGATGTCCTCACTGCCTTTGATGTTGTACAGCTTCATCTCCATGGGGAGAGTTTTCAGGTGCAAAAAGCACAGTCTGCAGAAAGTGCGGCGATCCTTTCGGTGTTGCTCGCTGATGAGGAAAAGATAAAGGTAAAACCTAATCTCAACCATAAGTTGTGATACTGACAAGTGCTTTGACAGATTCTCAAACTGCCGCCAGTTCTGTCTGACCGGTCCCCAGCAGCGGAGCACGTCCAGGCCACAACGGTAGCATTTGATGTTCATCAGAGCGTCGAGGAGAGGCAAAAAGTCGTCGCTGAAGGTCGGCTCAAAGAGCACCAGGCTGTCAA